ACAAACTTACAAAATGGACCAGACAGTGTATCCCTGCATGTTACAACTTCCTGTAGGGTTTCTCCCTCCAAATAAAGGGGCACATTTCAGCTGAACACAGACAATATCATCGGCCTTTCCCAGAAGTGTTTTGTCTCTCAGGTGCCTGAGATTTCTCTGGCCGATTTGCATGAAACATTATGCACTTGGCAAAACAGTTGAAGGGGCACCAGGTTCAGAGGAGCAGTACTGTAATTCCTATTTGATCATCTTTGGCACTCCAGCACCGAGGGGTGCCATGAGCCCATCAACTGCACTAAAAGACACATGGTCACATTCAGAGAAAAAAGAACCATCACTTTCTGGACAGTAAGTGAGATTCTTCAAGATGTTGTAATCAGAGTAGTTTCTACCATCTGCTTTCCACTATCGCTTCCTTTCAGACGCCCTGCATTACGACCTTCTAGTTAGCAGAAGCTGAGGAGAGGCCATGGCCACCCCATGCTGTTGGTCCCCTGAAGAGGGTGTAAGGAAGCACAAATGGCCTCAGTGTGAACTGCTTGCCCAAAGATTTCCAACTGGGAGCCACATGAATATGCATATGTCCAGTTGAATCCACAACACTGGAAAAATGCAGTTACGAGACGATAAGTCTGTCCTGTTTCTGAATACTCATTAACAACTCTTGATGCCAAAATAGTCAGAATCAATTCCAGTGCAATCAGGAGTTGACACCCAAAGTATGAGACACGTACTTTCTGAGATTTTGAAAGAGAAGAGATTTGTCCACAAATGACCATTTTTAAAAGCAAACTGCAAAGCCAAGCTAGAGAAAATGTTTTCCACTGTTTTATTGTTATGTTTTAGAAGAATGGCCTTGAGGGTGGAGTCCTTTTTTTACTGCTTGTTTTTCACTTCCCTCTATTCTCAAGAGATTTTTGGCAGGATCTTTGGAGGATATGAATTGTGATGTCACCAAAAAAATGAGCCTGGACCACAGTTCTCCCTCAACAAACTATCTGAAATCCTTCTTTGTCTGGATGCACTCCTACAGACAAGCTTGCTTAGCTTGGCCTGCTTTGAATTCTTGAGTTATTTGGTTGGAGTAGAGGTGTGTTGCCAGAGCTGGGAGGGAAGAAGTGGCGTCCAGAGCCAGGGATTGTCCTTCTGGGGAGGAACTTGGCTAAAGACCCATTTGTACAAAGCCCTGCAAAAACCTGCAGCCAGCTCTGCACTTCAGTTAAATGTGTATCATTTTTCAACACGGTTAAGATTAATTGCAGACAACAGCACTAAAAATACGATTATTTGTAACACATTGTATGAAATTTGATGCATATAATGTTTGTTAGCAGTACACTGGCAGATAGAGAGCATGAGACAGGGTCCCTATTCCCAAAGAAGAGATCAGACACAAATTCATGTCTTTCATCACAGGCAGATATTTATTTACAAGACTGATTTTCTCTGTAGCATTATAAACTACAATTAGCTTTCAGACACTGGCATGAATTCTGGACACACTGAGGAATTCAAGAGAAATATTGCCTTGACTTCATAATGACAGAATTTTGACCATTATTTTGGGTATGTAAGTAAGACTAGAAGGATGACCTGGGTCATAGAGTATAGAGCTCTGTTATAAACTAAATTTAATGTAATTCTGTTTATAATTATAATGATTTTCTTATTAAAAAATGTCTGGTTTACTTGATCCCATAATTCTGATTATTGTTTACTGCTGTAATATTTGTTGACAAGAACCACATCCTTTCTCAAGCTTTACTTATCTAGGCTTAAATGGTCTATTTCTTCCAGTTTCTCCTCATATAACAGGGCTTTGATTCCCCAGACCATCCTCCTAGCCTTTCTTTACACATTTTCCATTTCAATGTAATCTTTCCTAAAGAGGGAGAGCCAGAATTATGCTCAGTACTCCAGAGCTTTGCACTGTAGAATTCATAACTACCTTAAGAGTACCGACCTTAAGATGACTGATGCATCCTAGGATCTCATTTAACTCTTTCCTTTTTGCTTTGAATTGCTGGATTATAATCACTAGTTGGGAATATAGGTTGTTCCCTGCAAACAACTGAGTTACTGGAGAGGATTATCTTCTCTACTTGCTTTCAGCTGTAGAAATCAGCCTGATGTGTGTCAAAGTAAGTGTGATCATGAACAGGTTGAATAATATTTCCGCTTATTTTGATAACTGCAGCAGGTTAGGAGGTAGATACATGGACAGATGGAAGGAGGCTGTAACCCCCATACATCAGGAGCACCTGGGGAGCAATGGCTTTGTAACTGGTATAGGGAGAGCCAGAGGAGACAGATGCTTGTCCTTACCAGACTCTGCAGGAAGTTATTTGTGAAGATGGATAGTCTTGAATATAATGCTGCTGCTTATTGAATTTTGCTCCCTTTAGGTGTGCTTGGAGCAAAACTAAGAAAGAGACAATCATGTGAGGCAGTTTATGATCCAGTGGAGAGAGGTGGTCTGGGAATGACCTGGTGTGCACTCTCTGTTCTGCCACCAGCTTGCTGTGTAATTTGGGCAAGTCATTTCATCCTTCTGTACTTCAGTTTTTCCATCAAAAAGAAGTAAATGAGATTCGCCTTCCTCTGTGCAGCACAGCGACCTACAGATGAAAGGGTCCTACTTATTTTTCATCAAGTAATCAGTCACAGAATCGTTTAGATTGGAAGGGGCCTGTTGAGATCATCCAGTGTTTGAACACTCTCACAGTAAAGAAGTGTTTTCTTCTGTTCAGATAGAACTTCATATGGTATAATTTGTGCCGGTTGCCTCTTGTCCTGTCAGTAGACACTATTAAGAGGAGTCTGACTCCCTCTTCTTCATCCCTTCCCATCAGGTATTTATAAACATTGATCAGATCCCCCTTGAGCCTTCTTTTCTCCAGGCTAAACAGTCCCAGCTCTCTCAGTCTCTCCTCATATGAAACATAGTCCAGTGCATAAATCATCTTGGTGGCCCTGCACTGGACTCACTCCAGTAAGTCCATATCTTTCTTGAACTGGGGATCTTAGGACTGGACACAGTGCTCCAGGTGTGGCTTCATCGGTCCTGAGCAGAGGGGAAGGATCACCTCCCTCAGCCTGCTGCCAGTGCTTTGTCTAATGCAGCCCAAGATGGTGTTGGCCTTCTTTGCTGCAAAGGTGCGTTGCTGGCTCATGATCAACTTTGTGTCCACCGGGACACTCAGGTCCTTCTCTGCAGAGCTGTTTTCCGGCTGGTAAGCCCCCAGTGCGTACTGGTGCATAGGGCTTATTCCTCCCCAGATGCAGGACTTTGCATTTCCCTTTGCTGAACTTCATGAGGTTCCTCACTGCCCATTTCTCCAGTCTGTTGAGATCCTTCTGGATGGCAGCGCAACCATCTGGTGCATCAGCCACTCCTCCCAGTTTTGTATCATCTGTGAACTTGTTGAGTGTACAGTCTATCCCATTGTCCAGGTCATTAATGAGGATGCTAAATAGTATTGCCCCACTGTCAACCACGCCTGAGGTACACCACTAGTGACTTGCCTCCAAATAGTCTTTGTGCGCTCCTCTGGGCCTGGCCATTCAGCTAGTTTTCAGTTCCCCTCGCTGTCCATGTACCTAACCTGTACACTGTCAGCTTGTCTATGAGGGTATTAGGGGAGACAGTGTCAAAAGCCTTACTGATGTCAAGGTAAACAACATCCACTGCTCTCCCCTCATCCACCAAGCTAGCCACCTCATAGTAGAAGGCTATGAGGTTGGTTAAGCATGGTATCCCCTTCATAAATCTAATGTGACTTCTCCTGATCACCTTCTTGTCCTTCATGTGTTTGGACATTGTTTCCAGGAAGATTTTCGCCATCACCTTCCCAGACACCAAGAAGAGGTTGACCAGCCTGCAGTTTCCCAGATCTTCCCTCTTGTCCTTCTTGAAGACAGGGGGGCATTTGTTCTCTTCCATTCTTCAGGAACTTCTCTCATTTGCATGACCTCTCAAAGATGATCGTGAGTAGCCCAGCAACGACATCAGCCAGCTCCCTCAGCACTCATGGGTGCAACCTGTCAGGGCCATCAGTCAAAAAACTTATGAAACAAAGAGAAAACATTAGAAAGCTGTCCCTCTTGATAATCAGATGGTTTTTTACACAGATTGCGTATTTGTTATATAAGGAGCTGTTCAGTGTCCAGACTACAAGATAATTAATAGGAAAATGTGACTCGTTTTATTCCAAGTTCTGATACACCTGCTGTGCAGTGAACTTTTGCACTTGGAGTATGAAGCAAACCTGTAGTGCTTGTCAGTTCATTAAGAGTATTTAGTTTTATGAAATTAGAGACTTTTGCAAAAATCATACTCTGCACAAGTAATTATCTTCAGCATGCTTTTCCCTTTAGTTTCAGAGTTGGTATCAGTTGGTATCTATATTAATTTTTCTTTCATGTGTTAAGTGATCAAAATACCATATACCTTTCTGTCTCTCTGTACAATACTTTTGAGTAAAACAGATTAATTGGATAATAACCTCAGGAAAAAATAGTACTGCAAATTAACTTGTAATGATAGTCATCTGTCTTTCATATCGGACAGTTATTTGATTTATCCTGTATCCTTCAGGATTTCAAAAGGTTGCTTATTGCTACTGCCGCTTTTGATGATAAAGGACTGCAAGCCAACAGATCCTTTTAGGACTCCATCTTAACTGTTTTCTGCTGGAGTATCAGTCCCTAGGCTGTGTCTTTATGTGGAAGGTTAAGGGAAACTGCAGTTTGCTTCTCTGAGGAAGGAATACCTCCAGCACTTGAGCTGATTGCAAGGTGCTAACGGATGCTTCATTTGGCCATGGCTGCCTTTTGGATGGGTGTGCTATTCTGTGTGTAGATTAGGGAGGGGAAAACGAACTGACTCTCTTTTGTTTTGGTTTGTTTTTTTTTTTAACTGGCAGATGCAATGGCATTTACTAAGGTTGTATTAAATACATTGTGTTTTTCTTTCTTTCCTCATTTCTGCAGATCTTTCAATGGAAGAATGCTGTGACAAGGGTATTGAATGGGCAAATAAAAACAGAATATGTACTTCTCTACCGTTAATATCCGAGGCCAGAGAATGCAGGTATATAGTTATATATTATATATCAAACTATAGTTTATATTTTCATGTAAAACCATGGGAATGGCAGGTATGAAAGCTGATTTAGAAGATGAAGCACCCAGCTCTTAAATCCAAGTTTTTCAAATCCACATCTAGCCTTGGGGAGTACCTACTGAGTACCTACTTTTCTTCCATTACGTCCTTTAAATTTTTGCTGTTGGTCTAGTGTGGAGTCCCCCAGCTCTAATCTGTTTGACACGTACTGTCTTTTAGTCCGAAGTTTTTCCACTGTACTCTACTCACAGGGCTTGGACTCTGCCTACAGTCAATACATCTCAGCATGGCTCCCTAATGTCAGCAAAGCTTCTTCAGTTTATACTGCTTGTGTATCTAGCCCAATGATCGTCCAAATTCTTGGGCAAAAGTTTATCAAGAAGCACAACAGATCCTGTACATGAATAATCTATAGATTGCATACGTACACATGTATGTATGTAAGACAGCCTTTTAAAACTGTTTCTCCTGTGTGGTGCCACACAGATAATTGTCCTGCAGTTCTCAGTTGAATTGCTGGATGGCGGGACGTAAAGCTTAAGTCAAGGAGATTCCTAGTTACTATAGAGTGTCCAACTTCTGTCAAACGTATTTGTCTGTAGAAAATAGTAACCTTTAGTTAATAAATAGATTTTTTTAATTCTACTGATATTTAATAGGATACTAATTTCTGTTATGTAATCTAGCAAATGAAATAATGAAGTTAAATGTTAAAATTATTTGCAGAGTAATATTTTGGTTATACTGAATCTTCTATACAGTTGGGGCATTCGTATTTTTTATGTCAGTGATAGATTGTGTTATTTTTGCTGTTAAATGCACTTGTTACATTTAATTTGTGGAGCTAACAATTTGTGATTGGTAGTCTGAGGGGCAGTTTCACAGAGGACTTTGTATTTAAAACACATTACATTGCTCCCCTCTATCTTTTCAAATGGATTGCAAAGTGATTTAACCTTGGTAATTGTAGAAGTGTTGGATTGATCTTTATTATGGAAAGAATGTGTCTTGCAGGCAAGTCTGTCCATGTTTTCTGACTTTCGCATTTATATTGGCATAGAAAGCAGTCTGTTACACAGAAGAATTGACAGATAGGACTTAAATCCCAAAAATCCCAATTTAGGAAATACTTGAAGAGTCAGAAGAGTTATAGACAAAACAGAGGCAGGAAAAACAGGAAGCCAAGTTTACTGAACAATCTGGGAGCGAGAATCTTCATGATTTAATGATCGTTTGATTAATATGAGTTGCGATTCTGCTGTAAATGTAATTTATTCTTTTAAAGATTGCCATTTTAGGGAGTCTTTAAGACTTCATAGGAATTGAAAAAAGCTTACTAATACTTTATCTAGCTTTTGTGCATAACTGATATGTAATTAAGAAAATTATAGTGAGGTAATGGTAAATCAGAAATGGGTAAATGCACATATTCTGTAAGAGGCGTGAGCACGTACTCACAAGAAAAAGAAGTGTATAAATTCAGTTCAGTTGCATTTATTCATGACTGTACAATAAATAAACATAGTGCCCCCTGAAGCTTGGCTTCACTATCAAAATGAGTAAGTAAAATTGGCACCTTTGGCTACTTTCTTTAATGGCAATATTATTTTACTCCAGTTATGATTGCAAACTGGCATATCTGTGAGAGGTACAGAAAAATCACTTTATGATGCCATTTCAGACACAAAAGTAAGGGCCAAATTCTACTCCTAATTGCTGGTGTAACTGGAGCCAGAATGAACATGATTCCCTTTGCAAGCACGTGAGGGTAATGACACTGATTTTGTACATTTATTCCTACTGCGCAGAGATGCAAGCAAAACCAAAAACCAGGTCCATTGCACTTGCTGAGATCTAGGCAGGTGAGAATATGACACAGGATGCCTTATGGGTTACCGATTTTCAAGAGAACTTGCTTCCTATTTAGATTCCTACATGCCGTGGGAGCTGCTGGGGGCCAGATACCTGTCATTTATGGGGTCGCTTAAACCCCATCTGGATCTTTTGACTGTCTAGAGCAGAACGGTTTGGACAGTGTGGATCATCTGACTTTGAGCGCTCTAAAAACACATGGCCTCTTGGGTGTACAAACCCATATTACTTCGTGCCAGAGGGAGCTGTGTTTGCCCTGCATATTTGAGCTTGGGTTTGCAAGCTTAACAGTTGAATGCAAAGGAAAAATACATTGTGAGGTGAGCAGATTTGATGAAGTTACTGAAGTAAAAATGATTGTGCACGGTTACATTGCAAAGACCGTGCAACACAGAACAGATTGGATGTGAGTACTTTCCCCAACACGCATTACAAGAATTTATATGCTGGTTTTGCATCCTCTGCTTAGACTAGCAATAACATAACGGCATCTCAGATTCAGTCCTTCCCTCAAAGCAAGCTCACCGCTAGAGTTTCTTTTGCTTTTCTAATCATCCTTTCTTTTGTTTGTCTGAGGAGCAAGCTGCCTTACTGAATTAGAAGTGCACCCACTTGACCTTTTCCCAGCCGTTTAAAGCACATTCATAGTAATCCAGAAGGGTTTCCACAACCTTCCAAGCACTGACATTCTTGTATCTGCCATGCATCCTAGAAACAAGCTGGCAGTTCTGGGTTTCAACATCTTTTTAGGATTCTTTCCCCAAAGCCTCTTGTGGTTCTTGAGGCACTTGCCATCTGTGTGAGCGTCACTTGCTGAATATGGTACAGTTCAAACTGCAGATGTGCTCACTTTCTTGTCCTACACCACAGGTGGAGGCCAGCCCTCTGTCTGAAGTCCACATGAATTTGTGAGATCCATCTGGCTACTGTTACTCAGTTGCATTTAAGTTGAAACAAGGCTCCTGACTCAATGTCCAGCCATGTCTGCAATCTCTTATTGTGGTTGTTTATCCCACAAATGAGTATACCTCATTGGATCATCACACTGGAAAATGACAGTATTTTTCTCTGTGTCTTCATGACTCAGTAAATATAAGCGTAGAGTTTTAATGAATGATATCTTTGGCTGTCATAACAGCAGCTTTTTGCCCATTCATCCATCTTCTTGTGATGTGATTAAACTCACAGCAGCTGGAAACAGCTGCCATTTATTTTTGGAACTCAACCTGCCCAATAAATCTTCTTCCTTTCAAAATGAAGAGTTTGCCCTGCCCAGAGCTCTTAGCAAGTGAACTTAATTCCTGGGCCAGAAACAGCGTATCGCCATATAAGAATTGCATGCCTTCAGCATCGTGTGAAGTCTTTTCGGAGTTACATTGGGAATAACATTATTTATTATTAGTGTTGCAAAAATGCATAAAAGAAGCAGCTACAGAACACTCTGCTAGGTGCTGTGCAAAAAAAGAACAAAAAGGTGATCTGTGTTCCCAGGCAGAGACAAGTGGCAGCACTTGGATACAGATTCAGATGGGAACACAAGGATATAATAAGACAAGAGTGTTTGGAGTGATGGGCACCAGATGCTTAACTGCTGATAGATGTTTATTGATTTATGCCATTTTAAGTCTGGAAGAGCCTGAGATTTTGGACATCAAAGTTGTGACAGTTTTAAGTCTGAAAAAGCTGTTTAAAGTTATTTTTTGAGAAGTTGTCGCTATTAATTACTATCTCTTCTCTGTAGCCTGCTAAGTGTGCCTCACAGTCACTAAGATTTTTGGCTTCACAGTCAGAGGGATAGAAGAACAGTCTGCTATGTTGTCAGGGTTTTATTGCCACTCATTTAGGATAACTTGCTTATTTCACTTTGTGAATAATGTCAAACTCAGTCCTTTCTCTGCCACAACATTATGAGTATTGTTTCTCTACGTAACATACGATATCAATATAATTTTACCCCTTACCTTCAAGAAAACTTTTAAGTAAACTAGAGTTGTTTATCGATTGCAGCTGATTAATTTTGAGGTTTGTTGAATCAATTATTTTTACTTGAGTCCCTTGCTAATTTATAACACATGTTCAAATATATGTATTTTCATTGTTGAGGCACTCTTTATTATTTTCATTTGTCATATTGCGTCACTCATAATACCAGATCTTGCTCTTAATTTTCCAAAGTTCATTTCTGTTGCATGTTAAACTGCAAACTGAAAGGACTAAGCGTGGAAGACCCAGCTTGTTCTTGCAAAATAATTCTGGAGCGGAGTCATTCCCTTTTTAATTTTAGTATTTTTTTGTCAAAGGCCTTCCACTGTGCACATGAATAGCACTGACATAGTTTGAAGACAGGCTAGTAAGTAGAAGGAGAGAGGCAGAAGGTAGTGAAATTAGGCTGACAACAAAGACATTGTTTTCACAGCAAAGTTACGTTTTAATGCTTTTATGGAAAGAAATGAAATGAAAAACAGGTGATTACAAAATCTGTGCTGGTTAAGGAGTGCATCCTCTGGGAAGGAGATAAATAAACATGAAAGGATTGTGGAGGTAAATGGACATGTAGCTTTTCAGCTGGAAATTTATTCCATGAAAATCTGTAACATTGGTTAAATTTTAACAGAAAGTAAAAGTGAGAATATAAAACATGATTTCTTAATTTATAATCAAATTACCTAGTAAGGAAATAACTTTAATTTTAGATCAGCATCTGCAACAAAGAATAAGGATTTTTTAAATGTGATTTCTGTTTACTAGTGAGCCATGAATAAAACTCACTCATCTTTCAGAGAAACCAGAAAATGCATGATTTTACCTGAAATACCCTGAGTGAATGTCAGTTATGAGGCCTCATGCTCCTAGAGATTCTGTATTTAGTGTTTTAAAAATTCTAAATACCTATTTATTTCAATAATGTTCTGTTGCACTGTTTTAACTGAAAATCAGAATACGGCAGGTAAGGAAGAAGTAGCCTTTGGCTTTTTTAATTATTAGGAGTAATTTAAAAAAAAAAAAACCACGGGAAAGTACTCCTCTACTTTCTCCTTTTTTAGAGACTAATATTGTAAGCTGTCTGTAGACATGAAGTTAATAGGAATGCTACACAGGAAGAGTTGAAAGGTTTTACACAAAGAGACAAATCTAGATGTCCTATTAACCATGAGAGATGGCTCCTTTACTCTGCTGTGAAGTAGAAAGTGTGTATGTATTATATGATGGTCTAAGCCAGGGAGACACACAGAACTTAGCAAAGACAGGGAGAGCTACTCTTCATCTCAAAAGTCTTGGAGTCTCAAGAGCTTGTGGTGGTATGCTCTAGCAACCATCAGCACATGAGCTGGTGTGCAAAGGGAGAAGGGTGGTCAGCTGCGCAGGCTAAGTTGCAGCCAGAAGACCAGTTCTGTGCAGATTTTTCTGGCATTTTTCTCTGCCATCTTTCAAGGATTTCTACCTCTGTTACAGCCACACAAGTGTTTACAGTCTCAAGCAATATTTGCTACCAGTGCAACTTCATTGTAGGATTTGGGCAATGAAGTGTGATTTTATTGTTGTTCTGAGAATGAACAAATGGTATTTTAATCTAGTATTCAATTGATGTTTAATTCCTTATTACAGTTGGGGTGGGCCACATGACCTATGAATACAGCTGTGGGAAACATTTTAAGAAACTTTTTTGTTTTGGTTGAAATTGCCAATTTGTCAGAAATTTCAAAGAGAAGATTTGTATTTGAAAAAAAAAAAAAAAAGCCACACTGGAAAACAAACAGACCTACTGAAAGACTGCTGTTGTTTGTCTGTTTGTCTGTGGCTAACATATCTAGCTCCTCAACAGGACTTGGAGGGCTAAAGGAGCTGGAAAGCCTCAACTCCCACACTCTTGGGCTTGAAGTTCAGGTTTTACAGGCTTCCAAAGTCCTGACAGTCAGACCACCCCAGAGCTGGGCAGGGAATGGAAATTCTGCTTCAGAGGGAAATTCAGCAACAAAAAAGCTACATATTCTTCCAAACTGGAACTAAATCAAATATCAAAAACTTCAAATATTCTGCCAAATAAAGTTACTGTCCTGGGCTTAACTTCTTGCTATGACTTTAGAGTCTATTTTTGAATAATTTGTTCATGAACTTACCCTGGTTTTTGTTCCTATGCATTGAAATCTCATAGCTGTTTTTGTCCAAGTGAGAACTGCACAGTCAGACCATTACAAAATCCAATAAATAAGAATCGGGAATCTTCAGGAATGTAGCTTGACAGCCTCGCCTCACCAATGCGCACAGAGATGCGGAATCTGAGCCCAGTACCCACGTGTCCTCTGCTTTTAGTGGGCTGGACTGGATGGCCTGGCCTTAGAGCTGAGGCAATCCCTCATGCCGCCTGGGAGCTCAAAGCTCATCCTATGGTCATCGAGAGCAGGGAAGCTCCTCCGGAGGTGATGCATAGGAATCCACTTATCTCAGATGACAGTAGGAGAAGCCTGTAGTTCAGCGGTGCAACTAACCTATGCCTCTTCCTTATACTTCCAAAATTTCCAACAGTGTAAATAAAGGATTTTTAAGAGTAAAGGGTATTGGTTTGCTGAATATCTTTACACAATTTTATGTATTTCTAGGTAACCCTTGAAAAGATTTTACTCATCAGCTCAAATAACTAGAGTTGAGGAGAAAAAGAAAGGTGAATACTCTTAACAGCAAAGAGAATGCATTCAGTGTTGTTGGTCTCTAAGATGTGTAAGGTTTCTGGTGCCGATGGGTGCATTTATAAGGTTTTTCTGTGCATTTCTTATAGAGCTCTAACATATTAGGGCATGCCTTTTAGGTGCCCCTGTTGTACTAGAAATAGAATTTATCAGCTTGGATTGCTTTTGCGATAGTTTCCTTTCCCCCTAGAAACTCGGGTAACAGTACTCTTAGTGAAACTGGGTTATCACAAAACACATGGATATGTTTATATCCTTGTATGTGTAATCTGATTTGTTACTCTTCTTTAACTTTTTTTCTCCGTTTCCCAGTGTCTATTACAGGAGGTGGCGGTGGAAGAGCTTTAAACTGCAAGCTCCCCCTACAATGCTACCCAACAAGGCAGAGTTGCACGTAAAAACAGAGTGGAGAGAGGGGAGATACCTCCTTGAATGGGCTTTGCATGCAAGTGGCAGTAGCAACAGGACTGGAGGAGTTTAAAGCCTCCTCACGCAGATTATTTTCCACAGGAAGGAGTTTTCAGTTTATTCACTGAAACTGAGATAAAATGGAATGATTTTGTGAGCAGTGGAAGTAACAAATCTGAATTTCCTGTAGATTTATATCATCTCCTGTCCACATGCTCCTGCCCTGTAATACTCTTTTCTCCCTTGTCTTTCTTCGCCCCTTGCTTGCAATACACTCCATTTCTCACTCTGACATTCCTTGATATCTTCACTTCTCCCCATTTCTCCAGTTGTTCCACAGAGCAACTCTATGAGCTTCCTTCAACGCTCCGTACCTGTTTCTTTGAGCGAGGGGCAGCAAGTGCCAGGGTTGACTGGCCATAGGATTGCAGACTCTCACAATGTCCAGGGCCTGTCTTCTCCCTTCCATCAATCGGAGCACTGATTTGGTTTTCACCATCCTCTGTTCAGCCACCAGCTGTCGCAAAACATTCAAGAATGCAAGTCCTGGAGACCTTGAGCCCTGCAGCAACAGTGGTTGAACTTACCCATTGGCTTAAAAAAATTGTTAGGGCAGACTACAAGGTAGACAGGCAGTTAAACTGTATTAAACATTCTAGACAACACCTAGACATTCTGCCTTTCTCTCTAGAAAAATATTCTAGAGAATAGAATAGAAAAATATTCTAGAGAATATTTTTACTTTGTAACTAAAATGCATGCCCACAGGAACCATGAGACTAGCACAAGTGCTAGTTGTCAAAACTTGCATTATCTGTTCTTTACCTATATATGACATTCTTCTCCCATTGCTTCCATCCTTTTGTCAGCATGACTCAGGTACAGTGCTGCCACAGCCAGTTGGAGAAGCAGTACTGTTCAGATGGGATTGAATTTGCCAACGTGCGTGAGGAGTGTGACTCACATATTGGTGAAAATTCCACCTGTGAAGCTGAATACTTTAAGGTGAGACATTAGAGCTACTCCTGTTCATCTTTAAGAAATGGTATTGACTGTCTGGATTGGTATTAAGGGTTGACCCTGAAGGTCACCGTACTGTTTGATGCACACCTACACCTCATGTCTCTGTTAAGGCTGTCCACTTTGTACTTCTTTGAGAGAAACAGTTCCTTGTTGAGTGAAGCAGACTGTCTCATTACATTTTAGCCAAGGTGGAGGGTTGAATGCAAAAGGGCGGAAAGTCTTGGACGGACAGTTGGCTAGGAAACCACTTTTGCATGAAGAGAAGACATCAAAACTGTAGGAAGGGATGTGTGAGAAACTCAGTCTCGTTTCAGACTTTAGCTTTCATTAGAGCTTCATGGCCTAAGGTCAAACTTAGTGGTTTTCAGTATTGGTGGTCCAAAGGGGTAGGACTGAAGTTAATCCTCTGTGTACTTATAATTCCAGCTTGTGTACATGTCCTTAGTTAACATGACTTTGGTTTACAATTGAATGGAGACATCTGTAAGCTTGTGACAGTAGCATTTGGTATTAGAATAAAAATGCCTGTTGTTGGCATCTTTAGTTAATCTGAGCCCTGCCATCCACCTTTATTACTATCTTTGTCTCTCCTTTCTTGAAAGTGGGCATATTCATACCACTCTGCAGAGTGTTTTTGGAAGAAAGTTCCACCAGTAGGATCATGACCTTGACCATGACCCAGTCATGAACAGCTCTGGTCCTATTATGGATTTCTTTCAGTGGTCATGAAAATAGATGAGAGTGATTTTACTTCTGCCCACTGCCAAAGATACTGCATGTTTTGGCTGATTCAGTTAAAAAAAAAATCTACTGTATAGAAGGTGGCAGACAACGTCTGACTTAACAAGTTGCATATTTCTCCGAAATGCCGGGTTGATCATGTTCCTGGCAGTAGGATGCTGCTGATGCCAGGGCTGTGAAGTAATCCACGTTCTCGCTGTGAGTAGAAGAAAGGTAACGTGTGCTGATGAGACTGGCATTGTTAGGTTGTCACAAACTTGTCTGCGTGCGCAGCATGATTTTGTCCCACGGTGGAGCGTGTCCCACAGAGGGAACATACCTCGCCTGTTGACCACATCCAGGGTATGCCCTGCTCCTGGCATGGAGATTCCTCTCTGCAGCCTGTATCGTTAGAAGCCTGTCCAACCCAATCTGGATGCGGCATGAAAAAATATTTAGCCCTCTGTGTCAGTACTTTGAAGGGCTATGAACAGATGAACAAGGACTGTGATGGTGAGTACTCTGCAGATTCAAATGCTTGCCACCAGAGACAGGTTTATAACAGCAGCACTGTTTTAAACACATGCCATGGGACACCTCTAAAACAGAATGCAACTGTTCAAGGAAATCCACTTTCCCATGAGTTGATTGATGTTTCCCTATGTGGGCTTGTCAGCATGAGGAAGAAGAGTTAATGATGATGTTTTTTAAAATGGCCAGACTTCTTTAAAGATGGCAGGTTTTCATGGTGACAGCTATATTATTAAACAAAATGGAGTGGGTCTTAATCTCTGGCCCTGAGAATAAATGTCTCGGCAGAGCTCATGTCATGTAACTGACGTCTTTCCCCTGCAAAACACAGTGCATGAGGGCTGTTGGGAATACTCGCTGGCCTGTGCTAACCCCAAAATATGCTTCAGCATTGTCTGAGAGGATGTTAGTTGCCGTTAGAGCTTGCTAATATTTAAACATCACAGACGATTGTGGGACAATGCCTGAGCCCATATTCTGTCCCTGTTTAATTTGCTGGTATAAACATAGTCAGTGTTATTTAATCTTTGTGAGCCACGTTCTGCGCCCCCCCCCACTCCCTAACAGGAATGTCCTACACTTAGTAACTGTACTTGAGGTAGCTGTAGGAGTATCTTCGTAGATAATCTCTTTGATCCATGATGGACATAGATGATTTATGATCTAATATCAGTGAACGATTCATCATTTCTTTTGTTGAATACATTTTTAAGCTGATGACCTTGAGACATACAATTTATCTGGCAATTGTGCCCTGCCATGGCAAACCTTGACATTCAAACCAAGCCCATCTCACATGGGCTTGAATCTCATGTTGCCTAAGTTGGTCTGTTTTAGTTTAGCTTAGGTAGCATGGGAAATCTTTTGGATCCTCTTTGTCTCCTTCAAGGAAGCAGAATGAGTGATTTAGTAATTCAATTAGTAGAATTAATCGCAGCACTTTGCAGCAAATGAGGCAGCTAATCTTTCTTTTGAATCCGAAGCTTGCGATTGGAAAGAAGATAAAAAGACCATATTTTGAAAACACTTGCCTCAGCTTTTACACTTAAAGGTGGTAGGCATAGGTAATAATGGGCATAATTTTACTCCTCCATTTTTTTGGAAGCATAGGTTTTCTTGCCTTGAAAAAAGGATGCAAAAGTAATCATTAATCTTTAAAATCTTCCTCAAAAGACAGTAATCAATTTCCAGATTTCTTGCTGATACAGAAATGGTTTTATGAAAGTTTCTACCACAACAGCCCTGCAGAAAGGAGTGAAGCTTGTAGAAATTTGACCTTCTTTAAGGTGCTTGGACATTTTCCCAAACTTTGTCATAGGTACTTTTTTTTTCCAAGGATCGAGATACGGTCTTATCTTCTGAGTTTTGTCAAGAATACTTTGGTTGTGTGTATTAGGTGAGCACAAAAGTTCTATTGCTTTGGACTGTTGAACCTATTTTTTATTTTTGTACAGATCTTCAAAAGTTCTGAAAAATTCCACTGAGTTATTTGTATTTTTTGTCAGTCTGTTTTTCATAGCTTCTACTAGTTAGTCTGGATTTCAGCAAGTGAGAGACCTCTTGTGGCCGGATAGACAAAAGCAATGTTAATACATGGTTCACCCTTCCAGATCTGGTAACTTAAATGGTGACATAAATAATAAAAAACTATTATAAAATATAACTAATTAAGAGAGCTTATTGGTGAAAGTAATTGCAGGTGCTTCCTAATCACACCAAAAAAATCTTCAAACTTCTCACATGTAACTATTTATTCCTTTATTCCTTCCATCGTTATTCCTTTCTGCGAGAAGGCAAGGTATAAGAGCAGTCAAGGGATTTAGGACTTCAAGTAGGACACAGCTTTCTATCCAAACACGAAGATCAAGGCATGGCTTTGAAGCTGCATGGGCTTTTGCTAATAACAGGGGAGAGGCAAAGGAAAAAATGTTTGAGATTATTATCGGGATCACTTAAGCAAACGCTTACAGGCAGTGAAATTCTGTAATAACAACGCAATCGTTAAGTTGTACCATCCATGAAGGCAGCAATGGTTCTAGCAAATGGGTGAATGGTCATCGCAATGTGCCGCTGGGCAGCTGGCAACCTTCGGAAATGGCTGCAAACACATCAAGAACTGAACTAATATGGAGTCTAGACTGCACTCCAGTCTAAAGGATCAGAGTCTTTCAGAATAGGCTAACAACCCTGAAAAAATTAGTGTGAAAAAGGAAATGTTGAGATTAATCTTACCAGGATAGTGATAATTATAATGACATACTGCTTTGTGTCTCAGAGTACCAGAGTGCTCCGTGAACCTGAGTTAAACTAGCCTTATCACTGCTACATTATTACTACTCCACAGTGGGAGAACTGAAAGAAAAAGTGACTTTCCAAGTTCACATGTGAGATATGTGGAGACGCATGTGGGTCTACAGAGTCCTGGGTGTGCTCTGAGCACAGGGCCATTCATCAGCTGCTCTGTCTTTTTTTCTTTAGTTGAACAGGAAATGTTAGCCTTTAGGACTGCCAGTACAGAATCATCTAGGGTCAATATTAAAAGCCAGTTACCATAAACATCAGTTAAGAAAGCATTTGATGTTTTCCATCTCTGGATCATTTTGGCTGTGGTATAGCAACATAAATTATTATCAAGATGTTAAATCAAGATGCATCATGCACAGTTAGAATAAATACAGGTTGGAACAAATGGTTCAATGCATACGATTATGCTAAATGAAGATACAGTTTCTTACAGACATTGCAAGACTTAGCAAGCTCCGTACTTGAAGATTTACATTAGCTGGAGACAGAGGTCTTTCAAGTGGTGGCTCAACCTGGAAGAAATAAAGAACACAATGTTATTCAGCAGTTCAAGGATGGCAAGATTAATGATCACTTTTTACAAAAAAAATCCAGAGAAACTCTGTAACTCCCAATTTGAGCATTGTGTGACAAGACAAAGAAATAGATTGAGTCAATTCATATGCCTAACAGTAGAAGCCTGTGAGGATGTCCAGAAGTATGTAACGTCAAAATTTGGCAAGGCGTCAGCTGTATTCAGTAACTTAAATAAGATTTGGTTATCAAAAATACGCAAGCTTAAGTCAAACAATGAATCTTCAGCTCAGTTTTCATTTCTGTCTTCTAATTCATGGTTGTGAAAATTGGAAATCTAACAAAATTATAGACAGATGTTAAAAACTTTGAAAAAGATGCCTCAGGAAAATGTTAGACATGTCAGACAGAGTAGATGTTCAGAAATGTTGCAATTCTTGGAAGAGATCGTCAAGTATTTATTTCTGAAGTCGTCCAGAAAAGCCAGAAAAGATGGAAATATCCCAGACATACTAGTGATGAAACACAGAGCATCTGCCACTGGATGGAAGCAGTTGGAGAACCAAGTAAAAAAAGTGAGTAGTGAGGAACCATCCCACCAAACAGTAGTTAATAAGGGGAAACATGTATCTTAACGTTATGGTGGGCATGAAAACAACATCCCGGCACTGGCCAGGAGGGAAGAGTTCCTGCCGTAGAGCATTCTGCAGTGGGGAAAGGATTCAGTTGTGTATTTAAAGACAAAGTACAAAATAGCATGCTCACATACTTCAAAATGCTGTAAAGTAAAAAAAGATTGAAGAAACAAGGAAAAAGGATTTTTTTATTTTACTTTCATGCTGCTCTAGGTTTTAAAAGAACCCTTCACTGCAGTACAGAGAGAGAAACACATATAATACCTTATAAGGGAAAACTTAGAATATAGGCAGGGGTATACATCTTAGAGTAGTGAAAGAAATGTAATAGTTGCCCTCTTTTCAATAGGTGTGGTGCTTAAAGCACCAAATTACAGAAAATTAGTTCGATGTTTAGTTATTTTATATTCCATCTGCTCTGTTTTTAAATGCAGGCTATTTTCTTCAAGCCAAAAAGAGTCTGGAAGAATAATAAAATTAACAATAAAAGTTTAAATCAGCTTTTATGTGACAGTAGCAATTGTCAGACACCAGTTCCAGAGAACCAAACATCTTTGCTGCTTTCTAACAGCGAGGAAGAAAACTGAATAAATCAGCAGTGTCCCCTCAATTTAAAATAAAAGGAAACCTTTTATTAACTTGTCCTGTGTTCATTTCTGTGGTGTATTCCGGGGCCGTAGGTCAGCAGGTCTGGAAGAAACTTTCATTGCTGGAAGCCACGTCAGGACTGTGATGCTTTTAAATAATGTTTGACTATGTAGTCTGTTTTTCAGAGCAGAATAGCTTCTCTTTATGACCTGTTAACACTAACCTTGAATGAATCATCTTTGTCTGTTAGTTCAGAGAGGGGTATTTTTTGCTGGGAAGTTGAGTAGGCAGTTTAATTATAAACTGAGTCATGCACTTCAATGATTATGTCCCAGTTTAATTGAACTGGACGGAAAAGGGAAGCAGAGGTGTTAAGAGTTCCCACTGTTCGCTGGTGTTTGAAACTGGGCTGTGCAGGCAGGGAGCAATGAAATTCCGTATACATATGCGGACCATTCTGGTCCTCCACGTCACCCTGCACACACATTCACACATACACAATATTTGTGAGAACTGGATCCAGGTTCTGCGCTTGGCTCTATGTAGGCCAGATGCAGAGCTCATGGAACTCAACTACAGATTAAAATGTCTGAGCCTAAGTATACCAGGAGTTCTTAAAGAGTTTGCAGAAAATTTTTCATCAGTTTGCCAAGGTGAGATAACACTATTTACACTACTGACAAAATTTGCGTTGATTTGTTCAGGGCTAGGATTTGACTTTTTTTTTTTTTTTAAACAGGTATGTTGTTACTGTTGTTTGCTGGGAAAGGCCGCCCAAGTTCAAGGACAGAGTTGTGAACCCAACCCGAAGATAGGATACCAGTGCGGAACTGTCTTCAGAGCTTGCTGTGTGAAGGATCAAGAAGGCATTGATGTGTCCGTCAGCGATGATGCTCCTAAAAAGGAGCAAGGTATTTTATGTTGTAAATTATAAAAGAGCAAGACACAAAATTATATGGGGTACAAGGAGTGCTTGCACTTTAAATGATTTCTGTTGGAATTCCTCTAACTTGAGATCTCCTCTGAGTAATTTAATGATGCATGTTTTGGAGCTAATTTTTTTGGCTAGCGATAGCTGAAACATTGTATACCACAGGAGACTGAAAGAGCTGGGAAGTGGTCACTCAGTTCCTGGTGTCAGAACTTAGATTATTTCCGCCACTAATGATCTTATCTTGGAAACTGAGTATAAACTATTAATTTTTAATAGCATTTTGCCCACTGATAAGCTCTTAATTAAAAAGAAAATCAACAACAGATGGCCTTTGCCAGCTTGGCAGAATTCAAATGTTGCCTTTTGTGTGAGAGGCAAATGCCCACAAACTGGGGGCATTTGAAATGCCTGGACTGCCTGGGAGAACTGAACATTTCCGGGACACATGGTTTCTGCATTTC